TATATTTGATATGTTATTTTCTCTACCCTAACACTATACAGGTTCAGTCCATTTGACTGATCTTTTAACCACTACAGAAGAAAAGAAATAAATCTAAATTATCCTTGTTACCCTTCTAGAATGTCGGCACAATTTTAACAGAAAATTACAATCATTTATCATAAGCAGCCTCAGGCTCCTAACAGTTTACATCAATTTTTGTTTAATTTTATAGTGAGGAATATGGAGCTAGTGATGACTTTCAGGAGGTTAGAAGCAGTAATAATAGGGTTAGTGGTGGTAGATTTAATTATGATGAGCACACTCCAGTAAAGAACAAATTTTAGCCTTTGACTTGTGTAGATGATAATGAACTTGAGGAGGGAGGATAACAAAAGTGACAGATAGAGATGGGAATAGAAAAACAAAATGATGTTATGGTTATAAAACTTTTTTGCACAGCTCTTGGATAAGATAATTTGTGGGGTAAATAAGAAGAAAAAAGATCATGCTATCCATGGGCAGAAGTGAAAGACATAACTGACAGAGCAAGTGATATAGTAAAGGGTGCTAGTAGAGATACAGTCTTTGTAGTGCATTGTTAAGTATAAGGCATTAATAAAGGCATTCAAAGAAAAGAGCCATAATAACTTAATTCCGTTAGGGATACTGTCAAGACATAACTGGAAATGAAATAATAAGTAGGTTACTGGGACTGAATACTAGGCTTAGTTTAATATGTAAGAAACAGCTGGTTGAATTTATAGGATCAGTTCAGTGGGAAAGGGGATGGTTTACATGTAAATAGGATAAAAACTGGCTCGTTTGCAAGGGCTATTAACTCAACTGTAGACTAGAATTAGAAAGTGGAGAAGGTCAAAATAATGAAGAAAAGTCAAGATGTGGAGAGGTGTATAGTGTGAGAACAAGGTATAAAGGTAGTTTTAATTGTTGGCTAAACTGTTATTATTGTAATGCTAGAAGAAGAATAAGTAAAAGGGATAACTTTAGAACACTGTTCAGAATAGAGGACTTTGATATAATGGGAATAACTGGAACCGGGCCTAATATAGACATTTGTGATGAAAAGAATTTCTTGGAAAATACAGCTTTATAAGATGTTTAATAGGAATATAGTACTAGAAAAAAGGAAAGGAGTGGCTTTATATGTAAAAAGTGAGTTACAGCGTGTTCAATGTGAAGATGTCCAGGCTAATAGTAATAAGTAGTTATAAGGGGAAAATGCTTTTAGTTTGAATTTATTACAGACCACCAGATGAAATTAATGAGAAACTCTACAGGGGATAAATAATTCAATTACAAATGAGGTTATAATTATTGGAGAATTTAATTGAAGGCATATAGATTGGGAACTGCTAGATGTCAAATCGTGAGGTAGAGAAGTTTTTAGAAATTGTTCAGAAAGACAATTAGCCAGGGAACCCACTAGAAACTGTTATTTTAGATTTATTTCTAAATTCTAATAAATGGTGGAGGAACATCTGGGTGCAAGTGATAAATGCTCAATTAGTTTTGATGTTTTGATGCATGTGGAGATAAGGAATAATGAGATTTTGGCTACAAATTAAAAAAAAACAGTTTTTGAAGAAGTGTGTCAAAAATTATGGACTGTGAATTGGGAAACTAAATTAGTTGGAGGTACTGTTCATATGTGGGAAGCTTTTAAAACTTAAATGTACAAGATAGGCTTGTTTCCTATACAGAAAAAGGAGTGGCTGCAAATAAAAAACACAGGTTGAATATAAAGGATAAAATATAAGAAATGTAGTGTAGATATAAGAAGTTCAAATTCACTTCAGTGATGGGAGATTTGGAAGACTATAAAAGACCAAGAGAGTTAGTCAAATAGGAAATTAAAAATCAAAAAACTAAAAAAGGATGAAGAAAAATGTAAAAATATATAGTAAAAATTTTTTCAAATACATTAATTGTAAGTAAAACGTTAGGATTGGGAGTAGAGCCTCTGAGGGATGATACCAGAGGGCTGATATCTGATGATTTTTGGATGGCTGGGTTATTAAATTTTTCTTTTTTTCAGTTTTTATTAATGAAGATTTAAGCAATATTCCTTAACCTGAACAGTTATTAAATGGAAATAAGGTTGAACAAGATGATAACATTAATTCTGAGCTTGTTGAGGAAAAAATTGGGAAGTTTAAAAAATGATATATCACCCAGGCCAGATAATATTTACCCAAAAGTTTTGAAAGAGGTTAAGAATTGGACGTGTGAGCCACTTGCTATTATTTTTTTCTAAGGCCTTGTATAGTGGGCAGGGGCCAGAAGATTGGAAGTTGGCTAATGTTACTCCTCTTTTCAAGGGAGGTGATAAAAATTATCCTATGTCATATTATTAGATGTACTTCTACAGGTTGTTTAGCTCCCCAGTGGTACAGTGGTATTTCTGCGGACTTACAACGCTAGAATCCGGGTTTTGATATCCATAGTGGGCAGAGCACAGATAGCCCATTGTGTAGCTTCGTGCTTAATTACAAATTACAAACAAACAGGTTGTTTACGAAGGCAAATAGAAAAAACAAATACTTAATGTCTTAAAAAAATAGAAGTCTATTTTAGACTACTTTGCAATTTCAATGCTTTATGGTCTGTGATTTTGTTAATTAAATTAAAATTAAATTAAATTAAAAGGGGTTCGACAAAGAGTTAAGATAAGCCTTAAAGCTAGAAAAAATTAACACATGCAAGAAAAAAAAATATTCTGTATGAAGTAAACTGAAGCAGAAAGAGAGAAACAGGAACATGAAGCAATGTTTAAGTACATGTCTTTTGAAATTTATTCCATGAAATTAGTTGTATACATATCACTTGAGCCTTCATAATTTATCAGGAAATGAAAAATAATATGAATATAAAACATAATGTAAGAAAATTTTAAAATGGTGAGAAAATTGAAGTAAAAAAATACTTTTATAATACCACATAATACAAGTTATGGTGTAATGTAGAACTTAAATAATAACGTGCAATAATGTTAGTAAAAAATTATAATTTTTGTATCACTACTGTGTAATAAAGGACTGATGTTTTAGTTTATAAGTAGTTTGTTAACCCATTCACTGTGGCTGGGACGTACACTTCCCAGTGCTCCCACCCCCTCACACTGTGACTAGGACAAATGTTTCCCATTGTTGATGCTGTTTACGCCTTACCTCTGCTGGGTCCAGGTTCATCATCTTGACTGTCATCATTAGATGGAGAACTAGTATACTCTTGTCCCATTCTTCATCACATATTTGAACACCACTTGACTCATTTTCACTATCTTATAAGCTATCTGTTTCCCATTGTTGATGCTGTTTATGCCTTACCTCTGCTGGGTCCAGGTTCGTCATCTTGACTATCATCACTAGATGGAGAACTAGTATACTCTTGTCCCATTCTTCATCACATATTTGAACACCACTTGACTCATTTTCACTATCTTATAAGCTATATGTGTCAAGCGCATCAAACGTATTTACATAGTAATTAGGGTTGCTATTTGCCACTAGCAACACAGGTATGGTCAGCACGTAGTTGTCATACATTCCACTTGGGCATCTTTTTAGTTACTGAAAGACTGAGTGGAAAACACTGAGGGAAACCATATATCAACATATATTCCAACGATTTTACTCCCATACACCATGCATGGCAATCTTAAAGAACAATGGGAAACATTTGTCCCAGTTGCAGTGTGAGGGGGTGGGAGCACTGGGAAATATATATCCCAGCTGCAGTGTGAGGGGGGTGGGAGCACTGGGAAATATATATCCCAGCTGCAGTGAAAGAGTTAACATGGAACAACAAATTTCAAATTTGAACAGCAGTATATATAAGATCTTCTTTCATCACTAGCACACTACTTCTTGAGTTGGCATCAAAATGTAGTTAATAAATCATATTTTAATATTATACAAGTTTAATTTCTTAATTTCAAAAGGAAATATTTGTATAAATTCTCAACCTTTACTTTGTGTATCATGTGACACTATTTGAACTTCTGAAATAACTAACTTTGAGTAGAGATATTGCCAAGACATAATCTAACTTTATAGCCTCCAATCATCTTGATTTCTTAGATACAAATGAGAAAGCTAAACCCACATGCCACACTTTACAATCACATACTGTCTTCCAAAAAACAACAGTTCTCTTTGAATTTTGCTATTGCATTATATATAATTAATAGAATGAAGAGATTTTAATTTACTGGTTTCTATGTAAGGTGAGTCATTCATGCAACAGTTTTTGAATTAGTTTGCTTACAGATTCATCCCAGCTATCACCAAGATCAGCTCAGCTAGGTAAGAGAATTATATTAACACAATTAAAGCTTAGTTAAAAAGGTTCGTTTGTTTGTAATGAAGCATAAAGCTACACAATGGGCTATATGTGCTCTGCCAACCACGGGTATCGAAACCCGGATTCTAGCATTGTAAGTCCGCAGGCATACCTCTGTGCCACTGGGGGGCAGTTAAAAAGGTTAAATTATAAATAATTATAGCACAATGTGTTCTATGTGTGTGTAATTATTTTTTGTTCTAAACTGAACATTTGAAATAAATGAAAATTAAGTACTAACAAAAACTAGGGTTAACTTTTATAAAAACTGGGTACAAAAACATGCAAGACCCACATGTAAGTACTACATTTTATATATTTTATGTAAAGTTTTTATTTATTCGTATAAAAGTAACTAAAATGTAAACATCAGAAACTTGTTAGATTAAATAAGAAGACATAAATTAAAATTTCTTTTTCTAATTTCTCAACAAGGTATGCATGCAAACTGCATATGTGAAATAACTCAATACTTTGTTTTACCTTAACTTGAGTTATATGCTTGCCAGGTATTTATAACTTTGTAAAACAGGTTTAACAGTTAAACATAGATCATAAAGTAACAGTAAGAAATAACAAGGGATCTTTTTTTCAAAGTTCAGATATCTTAACCTATCCTTATATAATAACATTTTTATCCCATGTATCATCCTAGTAGCCCTCCTATGAACCATTTCCAACAATGTAATGTACTTTCTGAAGTAAGAAGCCCAAGACTGAACACATTACTCCAAATGTGGCCTAATCAATGGCCTATACAATGACATTATAACTTCTTGAGACTCGTATTCAGTGTTTCTGTAGATACAACCTAAAATCTTATTTGCACTGCCACTAGCAACAGCACATTGCTTGGATGGCTTGAAAGACTGATCAATCAGAACACCAAGACCTCTTTCTTCTGCAATACTTTTAAGGTTATTCCAATCAAAATTATACTCTTAATTCGAATTGTGATATCCCACAACACAACCATAACTATTAACCTGAAAGTAAGGTTTCACACATGATTATTAGCACTAATACAACACACCCCCTAATGGTGTCATGTGCCAGCCTATTTTACTGAAGGAAATTTTTCAAAAAAATATCTTGTATATCATTAAAACTAATATAAAAAGATATAAAATAGCTATTATTTAAATGCTGCTATTTTTACTTCTTTTGCAAGTTGTGTACATCTGTTTTAGTAACAAAAAAACTAATGTCCAGGTCATGCTCAGGAGGGCACAACACTCCTTAGTTTTGTTAAGACAGCGGAAGTCGCGCAACGCTGGGAGCATGCGCTGGAGTTCTAGAAAGATCACGGAATCTGTCGAATGTCCTAGCGTTTGCTAGACGCGCACTTTAATTGTATATAAGTGCGGCAAATAAAGCGAGAGAATTAATCGGAACTGGAGTAGCAGATAGAGAGATTGAAGATAATATACACAGTTAATCGAGTCAAATGAGTGGTAGTGACCGTAAGTAAAGTGCGTGAATCATTATGAATTATAGCGTGTGTTTAAGTTAAAGTGACTGTGGAAATAAAAGTTTATTGCAAAGTTGAATTGAGAAAGAATAAACTAGTTTTATTTAAGAAAGGACTTGTATCGCTAAAGTTTGTCGGAAAGAATTTCTACGGAAAATTAACAAACGAACACAGACGTAACAGTTTCAAGTTTTTGTAAAGCAAAACTAAAGTGCCAAAGCAATAAACTTTTATGGGAACCAATAAAACTTGTATGTTACCTTTATGTAGCATACAAAAATTACAAAACTTATAATAAAGTTAAGATTATATATAAGCATAGAATCAATGAAAGTTTTGGATGTAATAAATAAAAGTATAGAAATTCACAAGTGAAACACATGCACAGATATAATTTACTTAAGACCTTGGCTAGGGCCAGGGATTAACATAGCCTCCGAATAAAGGACAGTTTGTTGATATATAATTTGAGGCCAGAAATCAATGTTCTAAGTTCCACTAGTATTATCTACATTTTATAACAGTGTAGTCATGTTCCTGTGACTTGGTAATGAAACATTGTTAACATCTGAATTATTAATTGTGAATTGAATAGTTTGGTAAAATCAGTTTTACTTATGCTGGAATACTGTCATTATTCAGCTTCATAAAATATGCTTGTAAAACTACAAGATTATACATGCATTTTAACTGAAACTTAGTGATAAGTTAATTTATGATATACAAAGAACACATTTCTATGTAATGAATGTGTAAACAAAACAGTTCAGTGATTGGAATGTGTGTAAGGCAGTATGTACTATTATAGATGCCAAAAGCTTAGTTTAAGCTTGATAACAAAGTATTGAAACTTGATTTACACATAGTCTAGTCAGTCAAATCTGTTCAAACACCCTTCAGGCATCTAAACTGTGGCAAACCAGAAATTTCTGGCATTTATAGAAGATAATTTTTCATAATATACGCAATTTTATTAAATATTTACTTAACAGGCATTTTTAGAATACTGGCTGATAGTTTTGTATCCATTGTACTGAAAGGCCTGAAGTTTATTCTTTCCACCACACATTCACACATATTCACCTGTTGTCTTCTCTAGCAGAAAAGAAATTGTAAAATATTGTTACTTATCTGCTTGTTTGATAATTTCCGGTAAAAATTCTTTCCGAGTGACTTCAGCGATACAAGTCCTTTCTTAAATAAAACTAGTTTATTCTTTCTCGATACAGACTTTGTAATACACTTAATTTCCATAGTCACTTTAAACTTAACTACTTTTATAAACACGTGCTATAATTCACAGCAATTCACACACTTTACTTACGGTGCCTACTGCTCGCTTGACTCAATTATCAATTATTTCTCTTCAATCTATCTCCGGTTTATATACTAAGAAAGAGGGCGTCTAGCAAATGGTGGGACATTCGTGAGTTTGATAGATAAGTCACGATCCTTCTAGAAACTCCAGCGCACATGCTCCTAGCGTTGCATGACTTCCGCTTGTCGTAACAATATTTACACATGATACTAAGATGTTAACAGATTAATAGTTGTTTATACTTATGATGTGAAAATGAAAAATAAACAAAGTGCCACATTTATTTATAATCTTGGATATTTGTGGTATTGTGTAATATTTTATTTATATCAGCAGTTAAACATTTTATGTTTTGAAAACGGGAAATGCCAGTTAACCAATGTTCACTGCAAATGTCATTCTTAAGTTTACATTGGATTAGTGTGTGTATGATTATTACCATGTCTAAGAATACCTCTTGAGATTTATTATTGCCATGTTTGATGATAACCCTTGATTTCCACTACCTGACAGTCTTCTGAAATTATACCCCCATGCTGGAAGTATTTAACAACAGAATTGTGACTGATCTTCTGGAAATGTCTTTATCATTGATTTTTCTTTGAAAAAATTATTTTGTTCATCTTTCCTACTTAAATATGTTATGAATTTTGGCTATCTTTTTGTTTAGTTTAGTTTTACTTGTGTTAATAGTTATGTCTTATATTTTTATTTAAATACTTAATTGTCTTTATAGCTAATTTTTATCTGTTAGAAATTTTGTCATATTTGTAACTGAAAGCTTATTCTTGATAATTTATATCTAATTTGCTTTGTTACTTTTCAATTATTATTTGGCCCCTCATCTTTTTAGTTGATGATACACTGTGGGGTGTACGAAACACATGACACTGTTCAGCTTGAACGGAAGGGTCATAATGCTCATTACAACTCCCTCGACATAAAAGGCTGTACTCCATTGAATAATTGCTGTAAGGAAGATGGACCAGAAACCTTAGAATCTTGTATTGATATGACTTCTGTGAAAAACGACCTGGTTACTAAGAATGGATGTTTTGCAGTTGAAATTTCTGAAGATTCCGGGAGGTATAGTATACAGCTTTGAATATACAAAAAAAAATGTTGATTGTAAAAAAGACTAATTTTCAGGATTTATTGATGTGGTCACTTAAAAAAACTTATCATTTTTCTGTCAGGTAACAATATAAAGACATTATTGGTTTGTATGCTAGGAATTGGTGAGTAAACTTTGCTCTCTCTCTCTCTCTCTTATGCAAACTAACCAGTAATTTAGAAATCAAATCTGGTCAAGTTGCCATAGTGATTAAAGTTTATTCATATCAAACTCAACAGTAATGTTCAAGCAGTATGATTTATAACTTAACAATATTTTTTCATCTGTTTATTTTTAAATAGCTCTCTTTTTCACAGATATTGATTAAAATACCTGTGAAAAAAAGTTATAAATTTCCTTGACTAAACAATCATTACCAGTCACAGAAGAGAAAATGCCAAAATAATTGTTGTTGTTTTTGTTTTGTAAAATAAATATTCCACTCAAAAAATCATTCTTATGTGGTCAGTGGAAACAAATTTATGTGTGTGTGTGTAGATGAGAAATATGTGAAAGCTATATATATAGAACAAGTGATTTAAATATTGTGTAGTATGAGATTCATAATAAAATTAACATTCACAACAGTTTTATTTTTTGATGATGCATTAATTAAAATGTTCAGAACATTTTACATATGTAGGTTTGTTAATAATATTATACAAAGAGAAATTGTGTTTTATGAAATAAAGGTATACGTGTGGTCAATAGAAGAAGTTTGGTAATTGTTATGGAGGCACTTTTTATAATTTTTATAGATCTTTAGCACCTGTCGTATGGGCAAATTGGGTAAAATTTTGTACCAGTAGTAGGAACAACAAAAATTTATCATGGCATTTGATTTTGGATATGATACTAAACAATGATACTTGAATTTTGATACCAATTCTAAACAAATGATAAACTTTGTCATTTTGTAATGAAGCACATAATGGAGCTAATAACACCCTACTCTGGATAGAATGCTGTAGAAGTTTTGATTGTATTTCAATTATATTTTTTTTTAACTTGTTACTGGATATGATTCCCTTGGTTCCTCTGCTATGTTTACAATTTATTTTCCTATATTAAGCAATAATTGTCTGCATCATTGCGTGAGATAATAAAGCATATTTTCTTTAGTATTGAAACGCTGAAGGTAATTATATGATTTACTTTATCAACGGAATTAAAAATTTCACATGATTTTCAACTTGGCAAATTTCTCGTCAAAGAAGCATTTATTATGAAACATCTGATATACATTTCTACGTTCTTTGTCATCATCACTATCTTTAGTTAAAGCCAAAATCTCATTACCAATAAAATCCATATCATCATTTTCATCATTAACTCTTTCAACCCAGGCCCAGTCCTTGGGACCAAACTCATAACCATTTTGTACTTGTTATAGTATTCCTGCTATAACTTTTAAATTAGTAAGCAAATGTTAATGAAATTTGGCAGTTTATCAGTAAACATTACAATGCTTTCATATGCAAAATATCTAATTTTTTTATTAAGTCTTAAGGTTTGTAAAGCAATGTCTCTCTCATGCTTTTTTTCTTTTCACATCTTGCCTATTTATCATGCATCAGAAAATTTTGAAATTTTACACGAGAAATCTTTATAATGTCCAGATAGATATCAAACATTTCTTAAGAAAAAACTTTATATTTTATCTGTTATCTTCAGTGCTTAATCTCTGTACAGGTTCAGTAAATTTGACCAATCTCACAACCACCATAAAAAACTAGGAAATGAACTTAAAATAATGCCTCTTTCATTCTAGAATCAACACAGATTATAACACAAAAACATAAATGTTTAGACGAAATAGCTTAAATCTCATAACATTATACATTTTATATATATATATTTATTATTTTTATTATATTGACTTTTCACCCGTGCCTGGCTAACAATACAGAAATTGCAATGACGCGACTCATGCGCACTCATGTTACCGTATCAAATAACATAAAACTGACCTTTGGTCTATACAAAGTAACTTGTCTTGGCTGTGTTTTAGTCGAC